GAATAATTCGCTCATCTCTACTCATCACCATTAGGTAACCACATACTTTCGTGCCTATCAGCTAACGGGAACATTCTCATCTCTTTCAGGTACCCGCAGACATTATTGGCCATCAGCTATCAGGGGAACATTCTCATCTCCATCAGGTACCCACAAACATTATTGGCTATCATCTACCAGTGGAACATTCTTATGTCCTTTAGGTACCCGCATACATCATTGGCCATCTGCTATCAGGGGAACATTCCCATCTCTGTGAGGTACCCAGAGATAATGGGGTTGATTTACTAATACTGGAGAGTGCAAAATCTGGTGCAGCTCTGCATAGAAACCAATCAGCTTCCAGATTTTTTGTCAAAGCTTAATTAAACAACCTAAAGTTAGAAGCTGATTGGCTACCATGCACAGCTACACCAGTTTTTGCACTCTCCAGTAAATCAACTCCATTGCTGCCCATCAGCTATCAGGGGAACATTCTCATCACCTTCAGGCACCCACAGGCATTATTGGCTGGCAGCTATCAGGGGAACATTCTCATCTCCTTCAGGCACCCACAGGCATTATTGGCCAACAGCTATCAGGGGAACATTCTCATCTCCTTCAGGTGCCCACAGGCATTATTGGCCAACAGCTATAAGGGGAACATTCTCATCTCCTTCAGGCGCCCACAGGCATTATTGGCCATCAGCTATCAGTGGAACATTCCCATCTCCTTCAGGTACCCACAGGTATTATTGGTCATCAGCTATCAGGGGAACATTCTCACCTCCTTCAGATACCCACAGGCATTATTAGCCATCAGCTATCAGGGGAACATTCTCATCTCCTTCGGGTGCCCCCAGGCATTATTGGCCATCAGCTATCAGAGGAACATTCTCATCTCCTTCAGGCACCCACAGACATTATTGGCCAACAGCTAGCAGGGGAACATTCTCATCTCCTTCAGGTGCCCACAGGCATTATTGGTCATCAGCTATCAGGGGAACATTCTCACCTCCTTCAGATACCCACAGGCATTATTAGCCATCAGCTATCAGGGGAACATTCTCATCTCCTTCGGGTGCCCCCAGGCATTATTGGCCATCAGCTATCAGAGGAACATTCTCATCTCCTTCAGGCACCCACAGACATTATTGGCCAACAGCTAGCAGGGGAACATTCTCATTTCTTTAAGGTGCCCACAGGCATTATTGGCCATCAGCTATCAATGGAACATTTTCATCTCCTTCAAGCAGTCGCAGACATTATTGGCCATCAGCTATAAGGGGAATTTTCTCATCTCCATCAAGTACCTGCAGACATTAGTGGCCATCAGCTATCAAGGGAACAATCAGACAAATTAGCTGGTTAAACGTTGTCCATACTTTTCTGCAAGCCAAGAAACTAAATAGAAACACTTGTTAATATGATGCCCTCCTAGAACTGGACGACTTCACTGTAGCCATCATTTAGCTATAGCCCGGTAGGGAAGTGGATAAATGTAATTGTAAAGCTGCTATTATCCAGACTGTGATATTCCATGGTTTCTAGGGTATCATTTCCAAATTAGTCACAATTAACAAAAAATTCTGGTAGGTTCTCTTTAGCCCATGTATTTTGTATGCCCATTTCCTTGTCTACCTTGTAATTAATTATAAGATTAATAATCCTTTTTTTGCTTTTTACAGAGCAAGACTCTACAACACATGCATCAAACTCATACCGTTCATGCCGCAAACCTGTAATAAGTAAGTGACATGGGCAGGGATGTTTAAATGACGGTGTCATGTATAATGGATGTTTTTACAGCTGCTATTAGGGGCATCTTCAGTCTATCATGAATATTGCTGCCAGACTCATCCACCTTACCAACCGTTCCATATCTGCCACCCCTCTCTGCCAATCCCTCCACTGGCTTCCCATTGCCCAGCAAATAAAATTCAAAACATTAACAATAACATAGAAAGCCATTTATAACTCAGCTTCCAATTACATCACCAATCTTGTCTCTAAATATCACCCAAACCGTCCTTCCAAGACCTCCTGCTCTCTAGCTCCCTTGTCTCCTCCTCTCATGCTCCTCTCCAGAACTTCTCCAGAGTCTCCCCCATCCACCCTGGAACTCTCTACCCCAAACTATCTGACTATCGCCTACTCTGCCCACTTTTAGGCGATCTCTGAAAACCTATATGTTCAGGGAAGCCTTTCCAGCCTTCAGCTAATAACAGAATCTTCTATTTCTCCTATCAGTCCATTCCCCACAGTTATTACCTTTTGTACCACTAGCCCCTCCCTCTTAGATTGTAAGCTCCAAGGAGCAGGGCCTTCCTAACCCTCTTGTATTGAACTATATTATTGCTGTATTGTCTCCCTTTATATTGTAAAGGGCTGAGCAAACTTTTGGTGCTATATAAATCCTGTATAATAACAATAATAATCTGGAATTCTATTTTTCCTGCCTCTAAACTCTCCTCCATGTTAGCCTATGTGTCCATGCACACATAGGCTTTTAGCAGCGTTTACTGGCAGGAGAGTTCAGAGGCAGGAAACAAATCCACTGCCAGTCCATCCAGGAGCAGTAGAGTTTTGGCAGAAAAAACGCTCGATGCTGCTAAATGCATCTAAATGCTCCTAAACAATAGTCGCATTTAGCACTTCGGCGTTTATTCATTTCAATAGTCAGAATAAATTAAAATTCTGGCCAATGAAATAAATTGGTAAAAATAAACTAAAACGGCAAAACACCAAAAGCTGCTAAGCTGGTTTGGAAAAACGCAGCTGAAGTCAGTTTTTAACGCAGATTGTCCCCTTTCAGGAGATAGAGCGTTTTACAATAAACCAGTGTGCATAAGGCCAAATAGCCCAAACTCTCCCCCACTGCTACTTACCATCCTTAGAATCTAGCAAGGCCCTCCTAACCCGTCAAAGCCTTGAGAACATTTTTATTGTAAATTCTGGATAGTAACTGGGATAAAGCTTACAAGCAGAGAGTTTAGAGTGTTCCCACCACCCAGCCTCTACGTGGCAGTCAGTGAGTGGACTTAGAAAGTGGCCACGCAAACACTGACCACTGATTGAGGAGGAAAGAGGGAACAAACCAAATGCTTCTACCTGCGGCTCTAGTGAACAAACCCCTCTGGTGGAGGGTGGAACTTATGTTTTTACTATGCTTTTACATTGCATTTGTAGGCTGAAGTTTACTTTTTACTTTTATACTTTCTGTATTGGCAACATGGAAACTCAGAGTAGGTCTTTACAGACAGGCTTTTTTGTTTCAATAATTTTAATTGATTTCAATAAAGAGGGTTTTACAGAGATGTGGCATAAAGTTTATATCCCATCAGACTGAAAACTCTTCCACCTCCTGTATCCTCTCTTTATACTCTAATAGATTGTAAGCTCTTCCACCTTCTCTATCCACCTTTATGCCCTGATAGATTGTACGCTCTTCATATTTCTGTATCCTCCCTTAATCTCTAAGGCCCTTTCACACGAGCGTTCTATTTTTTTCAGCAGTTCAGTCACGTTTGTACCACGAAAAAATGGATCAGTTCACAGTTTTTCATCAGTTTACCATCAGTTTACATCAGTTTTTCATCAGTTTACCATCAGTTTACATCAGTTATTCATCAGTTTACCATCAGTTTTTCATCAGTTTACATCCGTTTTTTTTGTTTTTCATCAGTTTACCATCAGTTTACATCAGTTTTTCATCAGTTTACCATCAGTTTACATCAGTTATTCATCAGTTTACCATCAGTTTTTCATCAGTTTACATCCGTTTTTTTTGTTTTTCATCAGTTTACATCAGTTATTCATCAGTTTACATCAGTTATTCATCAGTTTACCATCAGTTTTTCATCAGTTTACCATCAGTTTACATCAGTTTTTCATCAGTGTTTTTTTGTCGGTTTACATCCATTTTTCATCTGTTTACATCCATTTTTGTCCATTTGCGTCCGCTTTTCATCCGTTCCGGGGTTTTTCAACAGAAAAAAAATAAAGGATCTTATGTTGGCGAATCAGGACAGAAGTTGCAAACAAGGATGAATTTGCATAGACATACCATCAAGGAACATAAAGAAGATGACTTTTGCACACCTGTGGGACACCATTTTGCACAACCAGACCACACTATGGAAGACCTGCATATTTTAGTTAGTTAAAGGAAATTTCAAATCCATTCAGGAAAGAAAAACTTTTGAACTAAGAATGATAATTCTATTTGACACAAGAGATAAAGGCGTTAATTTGGACATGGGATTCCTCACTCATTATTCAACAGTTTTATGACTCCCTACATGAGTGTTGTCGTCCCCCCCCAGTCTTTGCTTTTGCTGTGTCTTATCTCTAGTCTTTTAACCATTGAGGTGTACATCTGTGTGTGTTTCTTTCTTCTGTTTTTTTTTTTTCTCTCATCCCCCACATCTCTTCTAACATTCTGCTAAAACCTTGTACTAGTACTGCTTGGACCTTGAAGAAGGGGACACTCCCCAAAAGCTTGTCCTCAAAATTGTATGTTGGTGCAAATAAAAAAAGTATCACGTCAGTACTCAATTGTTCCTTCTGTTCAAAAAAAAAAACGGATGTTTACGGATGCGAATATTAACAGATGTATACAGATGATCATGTGTTTATATCCGCTGGTCCCTAGAAATACATGGGTGTCCGTTTTTTTTTCCCTACATGTACTGTAAAAAACACTAATAAACACTAACGCTTCTAAACACTCCTAAATGCTTCTAAACTCTACTAAACTCTACTAAAACACCAGTAAAAAAGGAGCAAATCAGGACTTTTAAAAATGCAACTGACCCGCAGCTGACTGCAGGGCCAGATCTAGCCTGTCTGATGTGGGTGTGCAGTAAAAAATTTCGGCGGAGCAGAGTACAGGGGTCACTGCTGGTGGGGCAGAGGACAGGGGACACTGCTGGTGGGGCAGAGGATAGGGGTCACTGCTGGCAGGGCAGAGGACAAGGGTCACTGCTGGGTGGGCAGAGGACAGGGGTCACTGCTGGTGGGGCAGAGGACAGGGGTCACTGCTGGCAGGGCAGAGGACAGGGGTCACTGCTGGTGGGGCAGAGCACAGGGGTCACTGCTGGCGGGGCAGAGGACAGGGGTCACTGCTGGCGGGGCAGAGGAAAGGGGTCACTGCTGGCGGGGCAGAGGACAGGGGTCACTGCTGGCGGGGCAGAGGAAAGGGGTCACTGCTGGCGGGGCAGAGGAAAGGGGTCACTGCTGGCAGGGCAAAGGACAGGGGTCACTGCTGGTGGGGCAGAGGACAAGGGTCACTGTTGGCGGGGCAGAGGACAGTGGTCACTGCTGGCGGGGCAGAGGAAAGGGGTCACTGCTGGTGGGGCAGAGGACATGGGTCACTGCTGGCAGGGCAGAGGACATGGGTCACTGCTGGCAGGGCAGAGGACAGGGGTCACTGCTGGCGGGACAGAGGACAGGGATCACTGCTGGCGGGGCAGAGGACAGGGGTCTCTGCTGGCGGGGCAGAGGACAGGGGTCACTACTGGCAGGGCAGAGGACAGGGGTCACTGCTGACAGGGCAGAGGACAGGGGTCACTGCTGGCAGGGCAGAGGACAGGGGCACAGCTCCTTCGCCCATCTCTATACTGTACACATCCAGGGCACAGGCAGCTGAGCTCCTCCTCCCCACACAATGCATACCTGAGATCAGTATAGTGTCAGTCAAGGATGATATAGTGTCAAGCTAGGGCAGTATAATTTTAAACTAGGGTGGTAAAGTATCTAATTAGGGCAGCATAGTGGCAGGTTAGGGTAGGCTTTGGGGGGGGGGGGGGCACAGCTAAAATCTGGTGGGGCACAGCCCACCTCAGCACCCCCCTAGATCCAGCCCCAGCTGCCTGGTGTGAAGATCTCCATAAGATTTAATGGGTCATGCATTTTTCTTCTGCTTTTGATAAGTCAAAAACGGAAGAAAAACTGATAAGTGTGAAAGCAGCCTAAAGTTCTTCTTATAATTATCCAAAGAATATCATTGACACAAGAACACCCAAAATAAAATATGTTATTGTATTTGCAATCATTTTGCCTATTGTTAAAAAAAAGATTCTAAAGTGCTAGGGATTGATGTGAATGTATAATATATGTAACGCGTTGCAAAAATTGACGGCGCTATACAAGTACTTGTAATTTAAAAATAAAATAAATAAAGGGAGAAATACATAGATATATGACAAAAAACAGTCTTGCAGCCTGTGACCTGTTTATGACAATGCTACTTTCCCCAGTTAGCCAAGTGGACATGCGCAGCAATGTGAGTATTCTGGTGGGCTTATCTTGACAGACATTAAATACATCTGAGTGAACACCTCTCCAGAGCAAGAATTCACAGCTAAGATTGCTGTGTCACAAAGCTCCCATTGATGAATCAATTAGTTTTCGGCTTTGTTCACACCAGCGCGGTGCACAATGTTCGCAAAATTGAATGCTTTTCCGCAAGATCCCTAAAGTCACTTACCTTTGTAGACAGTCAGTAATGCTATTAATTCTTATTGCCACTACCCTACATTTTGCAAATGAGTGCTCATTTGCATACACCAAAATGCATGGTGCCGAAGTACCACGTGGTTTGATGCAGTGCAATTTTTTAAATGCTGGTAGCAAACTAGCTCATCAGAGTGGGATCGGAGTTCTCCTTTTCCATTTTTTTTCTCTTTTTATTCAAGATATTTCTCATTCCTCAGCCTCATTTCCTACCCCCCCTGCAGTCCTGAGAGGCAAACGTTATCTCCTGACAGATGGTGTGGGTCAACCAGGTTTGGTGCCAGTTGTCTGGGGAAACATGTAACCTTTCTCACCTACATCTGATAAGGCAGCATTTCTCAGAGAATTGGAAAGCACTGACCCCAAAACTGTGTACGCCCCCACATCATAAAACAAATAATAGCTTATCTCCCGGACTTAAAAGAGAATTGAACATTCCTCAGGTCAACTGTGTGTTTCATGTCATGGATTATGAAGCTGTTAGTTTAACTGAGTTTCCCACTGACCACTCCCAAAACGTGTAGTCAGAGCCCCCCTCCCCTTTGAGAGGGACTTTTAAGAAGAGACAAGCTAGTTTAACACACACACAGATCTCCCAGCTGAACATCGTAACAAAAGGAGATCAAAGAATCACCCTGCTCTGCAGCTTGAATCTGCAAAACCAAGGCAAGGCAAGTAACTTAACCCTGTAATCTCCTTCCTATTATCTTGCTGCTGTTTTCTTTATATACATATATAGATATTTTTGTGACATCTCTTTGTAAATATTTTATTGCACCTGTTTGACTCTTTTAGTAATAAATCTTTCTTTCTGAAAGTGTTAAACTGTTTTTAAGTGCTTACCTGCAATTCACAAATTCCTGCCTTTTGAAGAGACGCTACTGTGTTTGTTTACTCCCTGCCCAATTGACCATATTGGACAGGTGACTTTTCAATCAATATAGTGTATTTCTGACAGAGTCCGTCTTCTCTGTACATTTCAAGATGGTGTTGGCAGTGTGAAGGGTTAGTTGCGTAATTATCACGACCTAGTAACAAGCACATTCAGGCTGCAGGCACCGATTGTAGTCCATTAGCTGGACAATCGCTGTGCAGGGTGCAGCTGGGTGGGGCCTTGTAGCGCGCGTCACACCGCGAATTTCGATCGGCCGGTTCTTCGGTCACGAGTTTGGTGAGAAGGTCTGGGGTCTGACGCCATGGGCGTGACTTATTACTGTTAGTCGCGGTCGTGCGATTGTCGCATGTTGGTGGCGGCGACCGTGGATCCGTGACAGCCACTACCCTACATTTTGCAAATGAGTGCCCATTTGCATACACCAAAATGCATAGTGCCGAAGTACCATGTGGTTTGATACGGTGCAATTTTTTAAATGCTGCATGCACCTTTTTTGTACATTTCTTATGCATAGGGCAGCCCATTAAAATTGATGGGATTCCCTAAACATGATGCGTGGGAATATGCAAAAAAAAAAAGCTCATGATCAGTCGCACCTCCTGGTGTGAACAAAGTTTTAAACTAGAAGAAAAGGCATCACAATAGCATACCTGTTAAATGTTGCTCCTCCTCTTTTCTGATCCTCCCTGTATACATTTTCTAATAAATTTTATTTATTTCCTATGCGGTCATGTGACCACAAAGCTCCAGCAGCTATTTGAAATGTGGGGGTCCAACAAAGCTTCTGAATAGCAGGGAGCCATGGCAGCGTCAGTTTCCATAGCGGGAGAGACTACCAGCTGTAGAAAGAGGGAGGAATGGGTCAGAGCGATCGATCTCTGCAGTCACATGAACACAGAAATATTTTTAAAAATTATGTTCAGGAAGCAATAATTTTTAGAAAATGTATACAGGGAGGATCAGTGGGGGGGAGCCACATTTACCAGGTGTGATATTGTGATGCCTTTCCACATTTAAAGTGTAATGCCACTGTTGATTAATTGATTACTCCCCTCTGGGTGATTTATTCCAGTTGCAAGAAGTTTAACAAACTTTGTTGCAGACTATTACCTTTTTCTGCCCTGAAGGATTAGCTGTTTTTCTTTCCCCATATCTTTTGCACATTGATTCTGAATGGGAGCGTCCAGTTCATTATAATCCCCTGCCTTAAATTTGATTTGTACCTTTAATGCAGACTTCCAAAATAAAAATCAGCCAATTACGCAAGCAGGAAATTACACTTTTGGGAGAGTTTTGTGCACCAATGATATACATGCAGGCAGTGGCATCCCTTGGCAGGTGCGAGGGGTGCGCGTCACACGGGGTGATACTGGACCCTCTCCACGAGCTCCACGAAAAGGGAAGTTTTAAAGCAAGCCAACGATCCCCGCAGGATGGATCGGATCTGCGGATTGAGCATAATGGATCGGAGTCCAATCAATTATGCTCCCCAATCCGCAGATCTGATCCATCCTGCGGGGATCGTCGGCTTGCTTTAAAACTTTCTTTTTCATGGAGAGATCAGTTAACCCCGTATAAGTTGCAAGCCGACGATCCCCGCAGGATGGATCAGATCTGCAGATTGGGGAGCATAATGGATCGGACTCCGATCCATTATGCTCAATCCACAGATCCGAACCATCCTGCGGGGATCGTCAGAGGAGTGACACCAAGTGTTACCACACTGGGTGACACCAACCCTAGGGACGCCCTTGCATGTAGGCAGGTGCAGTCTGCCTTCTCCACTGAAGGTGGTGCTCAACCGGAGCAGAACTTCAGCCTGGAAAGTCAGGAGAAACATGGTTTCTCTTTGGTTTCCTGGGCTCTGAAGGCAGCATTCCAGTTGGCTATGCTGCATCCAGGCAACCCCTGGTGGCCATCTTGGGTCAGCAGAGCCTTTATAAGTCCTTCCCCCAGGTTTTGGCATGCATTTTTGTGAAGTGGCTAGAGTAGGGAAAGTGCAGCTGCCTGTCAGGGAAAGTGATAGTGGCAGGGAAAGGTTCCAGATGATTAGGGACATGCTAGGGACTCACAATCCTGCACAGGAGCCTCCCTGTCCAGGCTGCATTCCACCCTCTGAAGAGAGACTCTGTCAGTGCAACTTTTCCGCTGCCTCTCTGCCAAGAACTGAACTGTGAGTGCTAATCTTCATGGCGCTTTCCCGCTTTAGTTGACATTTTCCTACAATACAAGTTCTGAGCTTATCTTCAACCGGATTCTGTATTTTTACTGCCGCCATACCTCCCCACATACAGAATGCCTTTAGATTGCTAAATTGCATTGAATTGTAAAGAAAATTACAGCAACTGCAAATTGAAAAGGAAAGGTCATTGCCTTTGAAGTAGAGCGCTATACCACTTCCAACCCTGAAGGAAGGAAATGCACTGCAGACCCTCCATAGGAGTACTTGTAGCAAGAACATAAACAAAATGCATCCCCACAGTGTGTACATTGCGAGTGATGTCAGGGCACATTCCTCTGATGAAGTAGATCACTGCTATAGTGGTCTATTGCTGGCTGATTGCAGACAGCAATAGACCACAATTAGATCTGATACCATAGAGTTTTATAGGCAGCTGGATCTACAGAAGTCTCCACTAGACAGATCCAGATGTACCATGAAAACAAAAATAATGCACAAAAATGTATTTATATTTATATACATTACAAAAGTAAAAAAAAAAAGAATTTTAATACATTGAAAACAATTGTAAAAATATATTTTAGTACATTGAAATTAGTAAAAAAAAGTAAAAAAAACTCCAAATTATTTTTAATCACCAAATGCGTTCTTGTTTTAAATGAGATTTAATTCAAGTTTTAATGATTCATGACAGCCTTTGTTCCAACACAATTTTGAATTGATAATTTTGTTGTCTTGTGGAAATAATTCTCTGACTTGCAATCCTGAATTTCTTTTAGTATGTATAGCACTGGACACAAATGATGTCTGATCTGAATGTAAAATGATGACATCAAAGGTACTGTACAAATAAAGCATGATGTGATTGATAGATAATGTTTCTGTCTTTCTGTAGATGGAATAGAGTGTCCTGACAATAAGAAGTGCCCAGTAAATGACAGCTGTGGGGACTATTCACAATGTCCCTGTATGGAT